TCTCTCTCTTTCTCTCTCTCTATCTCTCTCTTTCTCTCTATCTCTCCCTCTTTCCCTTCCAGCCCTCCCTCCCACGGCCTCCGCGAAGGTTCCTGCTGAACCCAGCACACCCTGGAGCTGAGGGAGGCCCACGGCTCCGCTCTCCCGCTTTGCTCCACAGGGGACCCGACACACCGGGACATTCCCTCGTCGGCAGCCGCCATCCCAGCCACTCCCGCACTGCATCCCAGCCCCACATTCCCTGCTCCCGGAAAACCCCGCGCCAGCAGTGAGCAGTGGGCGGCGGGATCGGGAGCAGCGGGAACAGGGGCCTCCCGAGCCCGACATCTGCCCACACGCTGCTCCGGGCCAGTAAACTTCCTGTGGCCATTGGCGGCCTGACAGCGGTGACTCAGTGCTGACTTTTTTTAGCATTTTTTTCTAATTTATTTTTTTCGGTCTGCTGCCTGATAACAGGTAGGGACTTGGTGCTGCCTTTCCCGGGCGCAGGCTATATATTGTCAGGGCTGTGCGAGTGCCCGGGCTGCAGAYGGGCAGCTTTGACCCTCTGCTGGGCTCGAGCAGCCCACGGCTGAACCCTGCGGACCCCAGCAAGCCCAAACAGCGCAGGCGCTGCCGTATTCTGCCCCCGAAACACAAATTGTTTCTTTTTTTCCTGTTTCCACCCAGAAAAGAGCCCGTCACAGAGGCTATTTCTGACATCCCTCTGCTACGGCAGCTGGCGCCGTGCTTTCCATGGGCACCGCATCCCCGCAGCCGAAAACCACAGGCTCCTTCCAGAGGCACCTTTATTGCACCGGGGCTGCTCCCGCGCGGGTCCCGAGACGGAGGGAAGCTCCAAAACCTCCGCGCTCGGGCGCTCTGCCCAGCGCAGCCCAAAGGCCCTGGGCTGGGACTAAGCAAGCCCTGGGAGAGCAGGTCCTGCCGTGACACAGCCCGGATGCCCCGGCGAGGGGCAGTAGTGTTAAAGCAGCCCTCTTGTCACCACGTCCGTCACCTTGTCCTCGAACGGAGCGWGTGTCCTGCAGCAGCCCTCTGCGGTGTCCGCAGGCTCTCGGCTCCTGTGCCACCGGCAGYGATTCCCGGCGGCTTCCAAGGGCTCGAGACGCTGCGGCCGAGGTGCCCGGGATAGCAGATAGGTCCGTCCCTCGGCCGGGAAGCCGCCACGTGTCCCGGGGGCGCGCGGGCCCTACCGCCCGCCGGGGCCGAGCCGGGGCACCTGCTGGCTCTTGGCAGTGCCCGGGCCCTCGGCRCTGTCCCGCGGCGCCGGGGCCGCCTGGCAGCAGAGCACGGAGCGCGCGAGCCGCAGGAGCGGCGGCCGCAGGATGGCGAAGACCCAGGGGTCCACGATGGAGTTGATGGAGAGGAACCTCAGGGCGAGCAGGTCCCACTCGTGGTCGCCTTCCACCCCGTCCACCTGGTTGATGTAGGCGCGGATCTGCAAAGGAGCGGGTGATGGAGGCGCTGGGATGGATCCCATGGGAGCACCTGCCTGTGGGAGGCTCCCGGCAGYGCCGGCACTGTGGGGACATTTCCCAAGGAAGCAGCGTTCCCGCCGGGAGCATCGTCCCGCGGGAGCTGCCCCGCGCCGAGTCATTTGCCGAGTCACGGCGCGCCGGCCTTCCCGGCAGGGTGACTCGCGCTCCCGCTCCGCGCTCGGAGGCGGCAGCCGGGGATGCCGGGGAGCCCCGGCGCGGCCGCTCCGCCGGCTCCCCCCTACAACCCCGGCCGTGCGGCACCTTCGCTCCGCCGGCACCGGGAGCATCCCAGGGACGCAGCACCCATCTGCCCTGGGAAAGGCAAAGTTATCCCTGCTGGTGTTCCCAATGCCRGCATGGGAAGGGAATGAGAGTGGGATGTGTGGGCACAGTGTTGCTGCCACGGACCCCGCCGGCCACGGACGTGCCAGCAGGAGCAGTGGCTTGGGCGGCCTGGGACGTGCGGTGCAATGGGCACCACGTTGCACACAATGATGCTGCTGCCTCCTCCTCTTCCTCCGTGCCCCGCGCTGTGCCGGGCGGGAGCACCGTTCCCATGCTCCCGATGCGCATGGATGCGGCCGGGCCCTTGGGACTGCTGCTGCCGTGGCGGAGGGCCCGGATCTCCATTTCCAAGCAGTCCTCAGCTCTGTGCTAAGTGCACGGCATCGCGGAATTCGATTCCCACTCTGATCATCCCCTCGCTCCACAGACCGGCGGTGACGCCRGCGCCCGGGCACTGATGCTCCCCTCCCTGCTGCAGCATCTCCCACCCAGCCCGGTGCCATTTGCTCCATCTCCATCTTCGGGAGCCTCCTTGGGTGCCCTGGCACCGCTCACCCCCTGCAGCGAGGAGAGTCTGGCTCATGGTGATGAAAGGGGGGTCCAGGGGACCCCGTGTGCCCACAGCCGTGCCCATGGGATGCTCTGCTCCCACCACCCCATCTCCTACCAGCTCCAGGCCTCAAGGGATGGTTGTCCCCATTCCCCATGGAAATGCAAACTTGCCAGAAGGTCACGGCAGAGCCAGAAGCCCCCAGGCACCAGGAGGAGCCTGGTTTTGGTTCCAGCCTTGGAGGCAAGGAGAGAAGCAGGGGTGCCGGGAAGGGGGACACGGACGTGGGGCGGCCACACTCACCGTGAAGGGCAGGGAGCAGATGACGAAGGTGATGGTCATGATGGAGAGCAGGAGGAGGTGGTCGACCTCCTCCGCCATGGAGAACTTGCCCAGGGCGGCCGGGCGGCGCGTCTTCTGCCCGCGCCGGTGCATGCGCACCAGGTTGGCGATGACGCTGAGGTTGCACAGCAGCACGGCCACGATGAGCAGCAGCAGCAGGGTGGCGTAGAGCAGCGAGAAGGCGACGTCCTTGCCGTCGCGCCGCAGCTGGTCCGAGTGCATCTGGATGAAGCACCAGGTGCCGGGGCAATACTGCACRTAGTGCCCGAAGCCCAGCAGGGGCAGGGAGCAGAAGGCGGCGGCGAAGGCGTAAGCGGCGGGCAGGGCCACGAAGGCGGCGCGGGGGCTGAGGAAGCGCTCGTAGAAGTAGGGCTGGCCCAGCGCCAGGCATCGCTCCAGCGCCATGCCGAAGAGGATGAGCATGGTGGCGAGGCCGAAGAAGCTCATGCAGAAGCCGAAGGCGAGGCAGAGGCGGGTGGCGGGCGCCAAGGCGAGGAGCGTGCGGTTGCGGTGGTAGGAGGCGAGCACCAAGGGGCTCACGGAGCAGGTGCCCAGCAGGTCGGTGAGCACCAGGGCGAGCACGAGCGCGTGGAAGAGCGAGGCCGGGCGGCGGCGGCGGAGCAGCAAGGCCAGCGCCAGCAGGTTGCCCGCCAGCCCCGCCGAGAACATGAGCGCGCTGACGTGGGGCGAGGCGGCGGGCTGCAGCGCGGAGCCCCCCGTGCACCGCGTCCGCTCYGTGCTGTTCATGCTGCCCGAGTGCGCCGCGCCGCCCCGCGCGCCGCCCACGCCGCTCCGCGCCGCCCACGCCGGGGGGGGAGGGCGTGCGGGGACACGCGGCGGCGCCCACGGGGGCCCCGGGACGCCCTCCGCGCCGCCCACGCCGCTCCGCGCCGCCCACGCCGGGGGGGGAGGGCGTCCCGGGGCCCCCGTGGGCGCCTAAGGAGACCTGGGGCTGCTGCTCGCGCGTGGAGAGCCCCAGCGCCGCGGCAGGATCCTGGGCACAGAAGGAGCCCCAGGGTGACAGCATGGGGCAGTGGGCAGGTCCTGCTGCTGCTCCAGGAGCTCCTGGTGCACCAAGAGCCCCAGTGCTGGGGCAGGAGCTCTGGATGCAGAAGTGGCCCCAAGGTGACAGCCCTGGGCACAGGACAAGTCCCGCTGCTGCTGCAGGATCCTGGGCACAGAAGCTGCACCAGGGTGACAGTACTGGGCACGTGGCAGGTTCTGCTGCTGCTCCAGGAGCTCCTGGTGCACCGAGAGACCCAGTGCCGGGGCGCTGGGCATGGAAGGAGCCGCAGGGTGACAGCATGGGGCACTGGGCAGGTCCTGCTGCTGGTACAGGACCCTGGGCACAGAAGCAGCACCAGGGTGACAGTACTGGGCACGTGGCAGGTCCTGCTGCTCCAGGAGCATCTGGTGCACTGAGAGACCCAGTGCCGGGGCAGGGGCGCTGGGCACAGAGGGAGCCTCAAGGTGATAGCACTGGGCACAGGACAAGTCCCGCTGCTGCTGCAGGATCCTGGGCACAGAAGCTGCACCAGGGTGACAGTACTGGGCACGTGGCAGGTTCTGCTGCTCCAGGAGCTCCTGGTGCACGGAGAGACCCAGTGCCAGGGCAGGGGCGCTGGGCATGGAAGGAGCCSCAGGGTGACAGCACGGGGCACTGGACAGGTCCTGCTGCTAATACAGGACCCTGGGCACAGAAGCAGCCCCAGGGTGACAGCACCGGGCACGCAGCAGGTTCTGCTGCTGCTCCAGGAGCTCCTGGTGTACCGAGAGACCCAGTGCCAGTGCAGGGATGCTGGGCACAGGGGCAGCTGCAGGGTGACAGCACTGGGCACAGGACAAGTCCGGCTGCTGCTGCAGGATCCTGAGCACAGAAGCAGCCCCAGGGTGACAGTACTGGGCACGTGGCAGGTTCTGCTGCTCCAGGAGCTCCTGGTGCACGGAGAGACCCAGTGCCAGGGCAAGGGCGCTGGGCACGGAAGGAGCCGCAGGGTGACAGTATTGGGCACGTGGCAGGTCCTGCTGCTGCTGCAGGACCCTGGGCACGGAAGCAGCCCCAGGGTGACAGCAACAAAAAAGCGACAGCACCGGGCACGCAGCAGGTTCTGCTGCTGCTCCAGGAGCTCCTGGCGCACCGAGAGCCCCAGTGCCAGTGCAGGAGCCCTGGATGCAGATGTGGCCCCAGGGTGACAGCGCTGAGTGCGTGGCAAGTCCCGCTGCTGTTGCAGGACTCTGGGTGCAGAAACAGACCTAGGGGCAGCGTCCTGGGCACGTGGGAGGTCCTGCTGCTGCTACAGGACCCTGGGCACGGAAGCAGCTCCAGGGTGACAGCACTGGGCACGTGGCAGGTCCTGCTGCTCTTCAGGAGCTCCTGGCACACAGAGAGCCTCAGTGCCAGTGCAGGAGCCCTGGATGCAGCTCCCTGTGCTAGAGCCCTGGAAGGGTGGTGAGTCCCAGATCCAGTGTGGGTCTTGGCACACTGCGAGTCCTGGTGCCAATCCAGGAGTCTGGGGCACACAGTGAGCCCCAGTGCTGGTGCAGGGACCCTGGGCA